GGGGTTCGATTTTCGACCTCTTCGCCGGCTTTCGGCTCTTGCGGACATTCCCAGGACAACGCCTACTTGTATACTTCATCAAACACACATCAACTTACAGATTAAGATTTGTCTCAAGAAGACAAACAAAAAATGTCAACAAATGTCATGTGTTTAAAAGGGGGAAAAACCCGCCCCTTTTTTTTGCCCCTTTGTTTTCCCCGGGAATTTTTTTCCCAAAAACCCCCTGTTTAGCGGTTAATTAAAATTTAAGTAATGAACCCCAAAACCAAACCCCCCAGGCAACCCTTTTGAAAATAAAAACCTTTTTACAAACCAATTTTCCCAAAAAAAAATATTTTTTTTACCCCATTTTTGGATGTTTGGGGGCTATGCAAAAAGGGCCCCTGCAAAAAAAAACAGGTTTTTTTCATGGGGCCCCACTTGCACCCCCAAAGGGGTTTTAACTTTTTCCCAAGGGGGGTAAAATTGCCACGAAAAAGGGGGCCAGGGGGAAATTGCCCATAAAAGACCCCTTGGGGTTTCCAAATTGGGGAAAAAACCTAAAAACCTCATCTTCAATTTAAAATGGAAACGAACCACATTTTTTCTGGCCCAATATTAAAACCCAAGGGTCATTTTATGGGCAATTTCATGCTTTTTCAGATGCATTTTACCGATTGGTAAAAAGTTAAAAACTTTGGCTGCAATCGTGCGCGCAGTGAAACCATGTAATTTTGCAGACCATTTTTGCATATAACACAAAACATCCTAATTCAATGCTAAAACAAAATATTTTTTTTTGAAAATGTTGTAAAAACTTTTATCTTTCAAATGGTGCCTGCCGTTTGCCTCTGGCATTCATACTTATCTTTATATTAACGTCTAAACAGGAGGTTCGAAAATCGTCAAAACACGTGCAAAAGACGCTACTGCCCCCTTAAATGGAAAATGAAAGAGTTATTAAACCTCTATTGTCTTCTTGGCCATTTTAGCACTCTAAAACTCCAATAGCTTCTATTTTAACCCATAACATGTGGTGACATTGTTTGTTTGTCCTCTCGAGAGGAATCCAAATCTGTATGGTAATGTCTATTTGGTTAAGTTTGAAAATTCAGTGAACTGAAGCCCTACAAAGCCGAAAATCGAACCCTTCCCAGCCGAAAATCGAACCCTCTTCTCGTCAAAATAACGAAACCTAGATGTATCCACCACAGAGGCCGAAGTCACGTCTAAAATCGGCATGACAAGGAAGTCCGAAAATCAGCTTCTTTTGAGTATCGCCGATTTTTGGCATGACTTCACTGTGAGGCTGCATTTTGGCGTGACACTTAATTCATGTCCCCTGCAAACGCGCCCATAAATTTCAAGTTTTGTTTCATGCGGCCTATTTCTCTGTCAGCTTACCGCTGCAATGGGACACTTGAACTCAGGCTCCATGGTCTGGACGATGGGGCTCCAGAGGACGCCCTTGGAGGGGACCAGTGCACAGAGAGCCGCGTCCCAGGTCCACGTGGTAAAGTATTCGCACGCATTCGACGAGACGCCACCCATGCAGCGGTGAATGATGACCACAAACTGAGGCGAAAATAACGCTAACATACACTCTCAGCACGTTACTGACTTTTTACTTATTTGTCGGTATTGAAATAGTTTGAGTACACTGCCAATCCAAGTGTGAGACAGTCTCAAGTGCGTGACAGTTTGTCTCACGCTTAGAAGTGTGAGACAACGAAGACACGGTTTATCCCACACACTGTTAGAAATCCAGCCGTTTTAGAATGGAAAATTCGTGCAAAGTTTAAAAACGACTACTGATGTTCTTAAACGGCAAATCTCTGTTTTAAAACAAAAATAATAATTCTGGAACAAAATTTTACTATTTGGTAATGAAAAATGCGCTTTCAAAACACATATCGAGGGGTCCTATTCAAAAGATCTTATCTGCGCGTTCCCCCCAAGACAATCTTATCTTAAACGCATGCGGATTTCACCCAGTTTGACCAGTTGGGACACGTACGAGAATAAGCGGAATATACTTTTACATGTACTTTTGGTTTCTTTGATCTTTCATCTCCACATTTAAGGGGGGACCCTGGTGAAAAAATCGCCAAATTTCCAATAAATTGTATTTTCAAAGTTCATAGATAAAAATGTGCATAGAAGGTTTCAGATTCAACAGGTTGAACACCTTTAAGCTAAGTGGGTAGTTTCTTTATCATTTGGAAGGAAATAACATTGAGATCAGTTGTCGTTAGCTTCTACGCTCAACTTCACAGCTTTGCTCACTCGACAAAAAATTTTGTCGTAGGAAGGCTTCCTGCGTTCCTGGTTGACACCTACATGAGTCGTCTTGCATGGACTCTATTCATTGATGACTTGTCGACAAATTTTAGTGACGGAATCTTGATATCAGCCCTACTTTTTTTAAAACACACCTAAAAGTTTGAAAAAAGGGGAAAAAATCACTTTTTTTTAAATGTTAAAATTTGAAAACTCATATCTCAGGACAGAAATTGAATTTGAAAATTCCATCACTAAAATCTCTTCTATACACCTTTAGGATAACCCAAAAAAATTTTCAAGACTTTCCGTCCCAATGAAAGACGCAGGAAGATTTTTCCCCAACGCTCCAAAAAACACTAAAAAGCCACTTTTCTCAGAGACCGTTCAACATTTTGGATTGAATTTTGTTTTGGGAACTCATCATAATGAACCTAATAATTAAGCAAAGTTTCAACTTCCTGGGATTATTTTGAAGCCTACTTGAAAGTTTCACCAGGGTCCCCCCTTAAGTGAATTTTATCACAAATGATATTGATTTGTAGCTGTATTAAATGATCAAAGTGAGTGAAATTCGCCTGCGTTTAAGATAAGATTGTCTTGGGGGGAACGCGCAGATAAGATCTTTTGAATAGGACCCCTCGATATCTGTTTGGAAACAGAAATTACGTGTTCACAAACGTAAAAACATCATTAGCACAACGCTTTTTTCTGTTATATGATTTAACTGTGGGCATCGTTTTAAAAATTTGCGTTATTTTTTCCGTTTGTAAACGGTGCGAGTCATTCCTACCTTTGTTCGTCATTTTAACCGAACTGGTTTCAGTTACAGACGGCATTTCAATTCGAAATCGTCATCCGACATGTTGTATACCATAAGACACTCTCAGGTTAGACCAAATATTCCTCGTTTCCCGGCAACAAGCAAAAGTATTTTAGCTGCTTACGGCTGAACCGCTCTGTTTGAGAACGGAAGTTTTTAGCAGACGATACCTTCACACTCGAAACATACTTAAATCTACTATACACAAATGAAGGTGTCAGCGTGCTTTTACTCTAGAGTCCAGAAACCAAGCGCGTATCCTAACAATATAATAGGGGCTGGCGGCCGGGGCGGGCTGGTGCGTGTGGCTGGCTGGCTGGCAATGAGGCGCAGCCTGCGCGGAATTCGACAATGGCACCCCCTCCTCGCGCGCGACGGCCTGCGCGCAGCATTGACAATCCCTCCCCGCTACAGCGCAGAGGCACCGGGTGCTCGCAATCCAACATGCACGGCGCGGCGGTGCAGGCCACGGCACAAAGGACTCAGTTTTTAAATACTATCTTTGGAAAGAGCCCATACTACCCCGTAGAAGAAAACTAAAGGAGTATCATCTGCTTTCATTAACGTTCGTTGAATGAGATTTTTTTAGCAGATGATACCTTCACCACACTTGCAACATACTTAAAAATACTATACACATGAAGGTGTCAGCGTGCTTTTACTCTCGAGTCCAGAAACCAAGCGCGTATCCTAACAATATAATAGGGGCTGGCCGGCGGGGCGGGCTGGTGTGTCTGGCTGGCGGTGAGGCGCAGCCTGCGCGGACAATGGCACCCCCTACCCCCTCCTCGCGTGCGAGGGCCCCGCGCGAAAATTGACAATCCCTCTCCGCCTGCCACGTCTCAAAGGGTGACTCGGGCAGGCCCGGCCCCTGCTCAGCTCGTGCCGACTTCGGCGCCAGTTCGGCCTCGTTCAGATGTTCGTTGAATGAGATTTTAAGTACTATCTTTGGAATGAGCTCATACTACCCCGCAGAAGAAAACCAAACGAGTATCATCTGCTTTCATTAACGTTCGTTGAATGAGATTTTTTTAACAGTGCACTTGCTGCCTATGCCTCTGTGGTTCAATGCCACGGGTCCCACGTCTGCAAGTGTAGGACAAACCGTGTCTCACACTTGCAAGTGTGAGACATCGATGTGTCACACTTGCAAGCGTGAGACAAGCGTGGCTCACACATGTAAGCGTGAGACAAATTGTCACACACCTCTAAGTGTGAGACTGTCTCGCACTTGGATTGGCAGTGTAGTTAGAAAATTTAAAAATATTTCGAAAAATATAAAAACAACTCAATGAAAGTTCCGTTGGAAATATCGTCGATAGAAGATAACTTAACTTGCGTTTTCATGAACCTGGTGTAAAAAGAAAGAAGTAAACTTAATCCCCCTTCGTTTTAGCAACCCCCTGAATCCTTGAGTCAAGGATAAAATGAAATTTGCAGACAAGTCAGAGGCCTTGACTTGTCTCCAAATTTCTTTTCGACAAGGAAATATAAGTTGAAATGACTGTGTTTTCCATTTTAATGGGTGTGTTTTCCATTTTAATGGGAAGTGGTAAGTCACAGAAATCCTCGACGGAGTGACCTGACCTGACACGTATGACGTTTTAGCGTTTAGCACTTATCACCAATGTATAACATTCATTTGTCAGGTTTTTATTTTCCCTGTCAGTTTTCTTTGTTTCTCTTACGGAGTTATCCCTTCTTCCGCTTCCTAAATCAGGTTTTCACGGCTTTCAAGGGCAATATACGGTAATGCCCAAGGATTTGTACAAAAATTTTGGTTAGGAGTCCTACACCGCGCCAGTGCACGCCTCTTTTAAGAGCACGGAGCGATTTGCGCTGTGCCAGGAGTGTGAATCATTCGGGTTTGGTTTAAATGCCTTCGGGACTTGGAGTGTTAGAGCGTTACCTTGGTGAGCACTTTGATTCCGCGGTAGAGCCACCATTCTGCATCTGCGATGTACTCTGCCCCGTACTCGTCCAACGCGATCCTGTAGTTGGTGAGATTGGCGTAGTGTTTCTTATCCGTGCATGTTTGGGCTCCATAATATTTGGGGAAAAGCCTCGTCGTTTTCACCGGTCTCTGCAACAAAATAAAGACTACGCAGTCACAATGGGAACTTAAGGGGGCAGTCTCGTCTCTGTACCCTTTTTAGGGGGGTTTCCCCCTCTTTTGATGACGAAGATTATTTAAATATACCTCTTAGAGACAAACGGTAAAAACCAAATGAAAGAACAGCATTTTTACAACATTTTCAAAAAAAATTTTGTTTTGTCTTCTGTTGTAAGGGAGTTAATAGGGAATGCAACGAAAACCGACAAAACATACAAAATTTACACGCTCAGACTCTTATTGACTTTTTATCTCTTGCCATAAAGGTTTTTGTGCAAACGTAAAATGTACTATTTTCTTTTTATCTATGCACTATTTTGTTCATTGTATAATGTACTTAGTCCATTAAACCGGACTTTTTGTCATTTGCAATGTACGTTTCAATTTCTACATGATCTATTGACAATTTTATCTTTATTACGATCAAAATTGTGCATAGTTAAGAAGAAAATAGTACATTTTACGTTTGCTAAAAAAACGCAATAAGCAAGAGAGAAAAAAGTCCATGTGGGTCTGAGAGTGTAACACGTCGCGATGGTGCACCTGGTCCGACAACCCACGCCTGGCGCATTCGCACCTTGGCTTGCGGCGCTGGCCGGCTCCTTTTGAAGCACATTAGAACACAAATCGGCGTGAACAGAAAGTTAGAAACTAGGTTCGGTTTTAACGTTTAAACTGGGGTGCGGTGAAACCCTTTAAGGGGGCAGTCTCGTCCCTGTACCCTATTGTAAGGGGATTTTCCCCCCTCTTTTGATGACGATATACCTCTCAGAGACTAACGGTACAAACTAAATAAAAGAACGGAATTTTGACAACATTTAAAAAAAAATATTTTATTTTGTCTTTAGTTGTAACAACAATAGCCGACAAAACATACAAAATTTCACTGCGCGACACTTTTCTCCGGAAGTTCTTAACTTTTGGGCAATCGGTTTGCGACATCTTGAAGATGAAAAAATCCTCTTTACTTTAACCTACGATCGTCCATATAGCGCAAGGAAATCTTCTATGATAATAGGAAGTGAACTTATGAACTGTATCAGGTCCTGTGAAATGAGCACGAAACTGTTATAAACATGTGCACTTAACAGTGATCATGCTTACAGATATTTAAAAAAAAGGTAGCTATTTTATTTTACATTTCACACCCACATTAGCAAATTGATGGTGTAGCTGGTTCAAAGTTTCAGCTCTTGGAAACACTGTGTTCAAGGCTTGCTTTAATTCAGAGTCATAAGGACACACAATAACATCTGGATCAAAACAAGTATTGATTCCTCTTAGATGCATCAGAACTGCTTTGTAGGATGCTTGGTTTTGCTTCAATATAGTAACGGCAAAGCATAATCTTGATACTTTCCCACCAAAACGAGGAGCTGCAGGCGGCAGTGAAACGGAGGTGAAAAAAGTCATTAGTAAATCGTGATCCAGGGAGCAGAAGAAGGACAAAACTTCCCTTTCTCAAGTTTCAATCATGTTATATGTTATGAAATTTGCCTGATGTCCAACAGGTCATAGCGGACCTGCCAGACCTGCCCGGCGTCATGAAACAGCCCACTGTGAACGAACAGACATCATTTTTTCACGTTGGAGGTGGCCTTCATTACCTATTGGAGGAGTTTAAGGGGAGACCCTGGTGAAAAAATCGCCAAAATTCCAAAAAATAGTATTTTTAAAGTTCATAGATAAAAATGTGCATAGAAGGTTTCTGATTCAACAGGTTGAACACCTTTAAGATAAGTGGGTAGTTTCTTTATCATTTGGAAGGAAATAACATTGAGATCAGTTGTCGTTGGCTTCTACGCTCAACTTCACAGCTTTGCTCAGTCGACAAAAAAATTTTGTCGTAGAAAGACTTCCTGCGTTCCTGGTTGACACCTACATGATCATGCAAGCTTGCATGTACTCTATTCATTGATGACTTGTCGACAAATTTTCGTGACGGAATCTTGATATCAGCCCTACTTTTTTTAAAACACACCTAAAAGTTTTAAAAAAGGGGAAAAAATCACTTTTTTTAAATGTTAAAATTTGAAAACTCATATCTCAGGACAGAAGGTAAATTTGAAAATTCCGTCAATAAAATCTCTTCTATACATCTTTAGGGTAACCCAAAAAAATTTTCAAGACTTTCCGTCCCATTGAAAGACGCAGGAAGATTTTTCCCCAACACTCCAAAAAACACTAAAAAAACCACTTTTCTCAGAGACCGTTCAACATTTTGGTTTGAATTTTGTTTTGGGAACTCACCTTAATGAACCTTATAATTAAGCAAAGTTTCAACTTCCTGGGATTATTTTGAAGCCTACTTGAAAGTTTCTCCAGGGTCCCCCCTTAAGGGGGCAGTAGCGTCATTTGCACGTATTTTGACGATTTTCTTACCTCCTGTTTAGACGTTACTATAAAGAGAAGTATGAATGCCAGAGACAAACGGCAGGCACCATTTTAAAAAAGAAAGTTTTTACAACATTTAAAAAAAAAAATTTTGTTTTAGCATTGAATTAGGATGTTTTGTGTTCTATGCAAAAATGGTCTGCAAAATTACATGGTGTCTCTGCGCGCACGGTTGCAGCCAAAGTTTTTAACTTTTTACCAATGGGTAAAATGCATCTGAAAAAGCATGAAATTGCCCATGTAATGACCCTTGGGTTTCAATATTGGGCAAGAAAAACTATTGAAACGTTCATCTTCAACTTTAGATGGAAACTAACCACATTTTTGCATAGAACACAAAACATCCTAATTCAATGCTAAAACAAAATATTTTTTTTTAAAATGTTGTAAAAACTTTCTTTTTTAAAATGGTGCCTGCCGTTTGTCTCTGGCATTCATACTTCTCTTTATAGTAACGTCTAAACAGGAGGTAAGAAAATCGTCAAAATACGTGCAAATGACGCTACTGCCCCCTTAAGGGGGAACATCACTCCAAAAACAGTGCTTTTGTAAAAACGTCATAAAAACCAAACGGAAAGAGCAAACTTGTTCATATTTTAACAGATAAAGTATAAAACAACACAAAGTCAATCCGCCAGGGCAGAACGGCGCTTTCGTTGAAAACACATTTTTGAGTGTTAGGTTAGACCATTTCGCACTGTTTCAGCGCTGGACGCCAAACGGTTTGACCTAGAACAACGAAATTTGGTGACAGCCTTCCTGAGATGTCTGGCTATGGTGGGTACCTCAATCACATTTAAAAAATAATTTTAAGTTGTATTTATTACATACAAAAAAAATTGTTCAATTTTTTTGGTCAAAATTGTTCAAGTTTGAACGTTAAAAAAATAATAAAAATTGACCAATGCAAATTATTTTGCTAACCACCATAGCGGCATGTCGTAGGAGCTTCCATGCTAAATCTCCCCGCTGTAGCTCAAAAACTGCGCCCTACAGGCCTGCAACCGTTTGCAATTTCATGCTTCGAGAAAAACGCGATCAAAGTTGGGGAAACTAGGCTTTTCCCCTATGCATATTTGCGGCCCACAACCTCCTAAAACTGCAATTTTTTGAATTTCGGAATGCGGTTTTCACCATTTGACGCAGAAAAGAATGGTCTATAATATTAACTTATAAAAAAAAAGTGGCAATTTTTGACCATTTTGGAGTGATGTCTCCTCTTAACGAGACCTATGCTTTGCTGAGGTGCCTCAATTATACTTGTCCTGGAACAGCCCTCTGGCAAGAAGGTAGTTTAATACTGTTACACGCACACGACCATTTGCCCAACCTATTGTTCCCGGCTCAACTTCAGCTTCGAAAACAAATACTGCAGCGAGTAGCCAATGGGAATCCAGCCTCCTACAGGAATATTTTTGACGAAGAAAGTTCTCTGTAAGCCTTTCTACAGTTATGGAAATCAAATTTTATTGGATAATGAACAAATTCTATACATAACTATTTTGTTCCAGATTGTCAAGAGCTGTTCAGGCCAAGATTAAATGGGAGCTAATTTATCCTGAGATGAAAGCAGCAAGGCTCTCTCTTCCCCCACCTGCTGAGAGTCTGCAGGAGGTGGCTGCGGTTCTGCAGCTGCCACAGTTCTCCTTCTTATCTGCCACTTTAGATGGACAAGACTCCATCTTTTCAAAATTAGTCACATCTGATGATCAGTCAAGCAGCTTAGTCTTATGCTCCTCAAGAAATATTTCGTTTCTCAGTCGTGTAAGGTCTTTTCCCTGCATAACTGAAAATGTAGCTAACCCTAAACTTCAGGTAATTTCCAGCATTTATTGGCTGAGCGATAGCGAAGCCCGTTACTTCAGTGGGGTTGAAAAGTTTTGTCTGTCTGTCTGTTTGTCTGTCTGTCTGCGTGTGTGTGTCTGTGTGCACTACTCCTCCTGAACGGCTCGGCCGATCTGGCTGAGATTTTGCAGGGTCATTAGGTATGTCCTTGGCTCGCCACACACCAAAATGCAGCTTTCTATCTCAATCCATTCGGTCATATCAGCCAAAAACCACTTCAAAAACGACAGAAAAAGGACAACTTTTTTGGTACTTTCAACTTTTTGTCAAGTTTCATATCGTTTCATATGTTTTTGAGGCTGCTGATGACGAAAATAGAACCCGTTCGGGCCACCGATCGAAAGTTAAATCCCATTGGTGTAGATTTTGATGACCAAATACTATTTTTTGAGGGGATCACGCCCATCTCTACGGCCTGCCTAGGGAAGCAGCCTGCCGGAGGCAGGTTAGCGCCGCAGGCCAAGGTAGGTGAATACACCAGGCGTGGATGGTCGAAACTGGCGCAGCATCGCGAAGCCTGTTACGACAAGACACGGTCTGGCGTACACCTACCTTGTTATGTTTGTAAGGAACATAGGTAGCATGTGATCCAAGACGTGGACGAGGGGAATCACTTGACTGAAAATTGAGTTTATATTTTACTGTGCCATAGAATGGTTTTTATCATTACACCGAATTATTTGATTAGGTCCCTACTGCTCTCCATTTTAACGAATAGTGATAAGTTGCAGAAACCCGGGTGGAGTGTCCTTTATTTTCTGATGGCCTTTTTCCAAAATTTAACTTGCTTTTTGAAATTATATCATTTACCACAGCCATTTGTTTTGTTTTAGTTTCCTTTGCTAAGTTTTTTGTTCCTCCTAAAAATGGCCAATATTGAGGGTTATGTCCTTCTTCTGCACCCTGGATCACGATTTACTAATGACTTTTTTCACCTCCGTTTCACTGCCGCCTGCAGCTCCTCGTTTTGGTGGGAAAGTATCAAGATTATGCTTTGCCATTAGTATATTGCATGATGGAGAAGCAAAACCAAGCATCCTACAAAGCAGTTCTGATGCATCTAAGAGGAATCAATACTTGTTTTGATCCAGATGTTATTGTGTGTCCTTATGACTCTGAATTAAAGCAAGCCTTGAACACAGTGTTTCCAAGAGCTGAAACTTTGAACCAGCTACACCATCAATTTCTTAAGGTGGGTGTGAAATGTAAAATAGAATAGCTACCTTTTTTTTTAAAGATCTGTAAGCATGATTGCTCTTGAGTGCACATGTTTAGCTATAACAGTTTCATGCTCATTTCACAGGACCTGATACAGTTCATAAGTTCACTTCCTATTATCATAGAAGATTTCCTTGCGCTATATGGACGATCGTAGGTTAAAGTAAAGAGGATTTTTTCATCTTCAAGATGCAGCAAACCGATTGCCAAAGAGTTAAGAACTTCCGGAGAAAAGTGTCGCGCAGTGAAATTTTGTATGTTTTGTCGGTTTTCGTTGCATTCCCTATAACTCCCTTACAACTGAAGACAAAACAAAATATTTTTTTTGAAAATGTTGTAAAAATTCTGTTCTTTTATTTGGTTTGTACCGTTAGTCTCCGAGAGGTATAGTTAAAATATCATCGTCATCAAAAGAGGGGGGAAAATCCCCCTTAAATAGGGTGCAGGGACGAGAGGGTTAAATAGGGTAAAGGGTTTCACCGCACCCCAGTTTAAACGTTAAAACCGAACCTAGTTTCTAACTTTCTGTTCACGCCGATTGTGTGCTAATGTGCTACAAAAGGAGCCGGCCAGCGCCGCAAGCCAAGGTGCGAATGCGCCAGGCGTGGGTTGTCGGACCAGGTGCAGCATCGCGACGTGTTAGGGCAAGCCACGGTCTGGCGTACCTCAATTTCAATTTCACAACTTTTTGCATCGCCAGTGCGGGTAATATGGACCACTTGTCGAGATTATTTCAGAATTACCGACAAGCAAAAAGTGCTTGCGGTCTTGCCAATCTAAAACTCATCTATCATCCCTCCCTCGTGTTTTGGGTCAAACGGCATGTTTATGGCTTGCTTCTTTGCAGAGTAACAGCTGTGCAAGGAGTGGTCCGTATTACTTACCCCCTAGTGTGGGCACACTAAATGTCATGGGACTTTTTTTGTCCCACGAATGATGCAATTTTAAGCACATCCGGTGGTGATGCAATTTGGAGTCCGCTCGTGTCCGCCAGGCGGGACAAATTGTCTAATGAAAGTACAAAAAGTACACGCACTCGTGTAAATGTTATCACAATGTCAGAAACCTGTCTGAAAACCTGATCAAAATTCGCGCACCTCTGAAAACTGAAAACATCTCCTGACATTCTGTAGAACCCCACCATCAATATCAGAGTAAGTTTTCAGAATTTCAGCTTTCAGAGGTGCGCGAATTTGATCAGGATTTCAGACATGTTTCTGACATTCTGACTAAATTTACACGAGTGCGTCGGACCCAAAAAGTGTCGCCAGGCGGGAAAAAAATTTTATAGCGTCGGATTGGGCCTTTTAAAATTTCATAAATCGTGGGACAAAAAAAGTCCCATGACATTTAGTGTGGGGTAGTGGACCACCCCTGGAATTTTGTTACCTCTCAAGGGTAATTTGGGTATTAGACGTGTACCGAGGGGTGAATCACTAGTGTACTCATGTGTACAAATTTTCCCGTACTCAGTGTACTCACAAGTTTTAAAAGGGCGAAATTCACTAGTTTTTCGACCGATTTGGCGTTGAGTGATGTTTAAAAAGCTTAATAAAGCATTGAGATGTTAACAAGGTAGGTGTACGCCAGACCGTGTCTTGTCGTAACAGGCTTCGCGATGCTGCGCCAGTTTCGCCAATCCACGCCTGGCGTTTGCACCTACCTTGGCCTGCGGCGCTAGCCTGCCTTCGGCAGGCCATGGCTTGCCCATCGTCGGTTACTTCTTAATTGTTGCATGCTGTGCCCAGACCCCCCCCTTCATTCCAGATAGAGTTGCCTTATCTACAGATAACACGATCTTGACCGTCGTTACTTTTCAACTTGACGGGGCTGGGGGGCTCCGCCCTCCAGACCCCCCTTTCTTCAAGGCAGAAGGCATTTGCCGGCAGAAAACACTATTTTTCGCCGTTTTTTAGGTGTTTTTCGGCTATAAAAACTGAACTAGTTGAGCTAGGATGGTGAAATTTCGCGTGTGCCGAGCCAAGGACATACCCAAAAAGTGTGCAAAATCTCAGCCAGATCGGCCGAGCCGTTCAGGAGGAGTAGTGCTGACAGACAGACACACACACACAGACAGACAAAACTTTTCAACCCCACCTGAGTAACGGGCTTCGCTATCGCTCAGCCAACAAATGTGAAATTTATGGGTAAAGCAAGGTGTACTCACCCGTACTCATGTACTCATGTGTACACCAGAACGCACAGTGATTCACCCCTCGACGCCCTTCAAATGGGAAAGCATCTGAGACTATAGCACCAAATATGGCCAACAGTGTGACCATATGTGAAGATAATCTTGCAAGATGTGTTCTCATTTAAAAATATTTTGGCACAGATATAAAGTACATATATTGTTTGTAGGCGAATATAGTGAAACACCAGAAGTCTGCGACTGCGAAAACCAATAGTTTACTTATAAAGAAAGCACCTCGCCATAGAGGACATCTAAGCTTAAGTAACATGTCGCCTAAAGAACTTTTCCCTACCCTAACAAAGTTTTAAATTTTCCCCTGTTCCGTGAGGTTTAAAGCGGATTTCGGAAGTTTCTTGGAGGGCAAACGCATAGAAAAGTAGCTTACCCATAATATTATATGGCGTCAATATATTTTACAACTAAAATTATGATAATATAGCCGCCATTCAACATTTGGTGCCAGTTTTAAAACCCTTGTAAAGCTCCCACCTCACCAGGCCATCAACGATTTAAACCGATCAGATATTGAAGGTACATTTCGCGAAGATAATATCTCAAAGGGCAAATATGCATCAATTTAACCGACAGGATACAAATCAATATAAATGGGATTTAGTACAAAATTGAAGATAAAGAGCAAGAAAATTATATTGACAATGCAGAAATATATGGAGTCATATATTGACACATATTTTCCATATATTTTCCTTTTTGCAAGGGCGTGTACTCAGCTGAGTATGCATCTGTAGATGTGTACTCATCCAAGTATGCATCTGCAGATGTGTACTCATCTAAGTATGCATCTGTAGGTGTGTACTCATCTAAGTATGTATCTTTAGGTGTCTACAGACGCATACTGAGTACACACTAAAGTTTGTAGAGCGGAGAAAGACACTTCAAACAGCAAAAACTGCACTGCGAAAACCTAACAAACTAGTTTAGGCCTTAAAAAGAAAAGCAGCTTGCTTTAAAAGTATTTTTAGCATACATAAGCTTACAAAGAAAATACCCCGTAACTTACGAACTATTTCTTCGCATAACAAAGTAAATTCGTCTGTTTCGTGAGGTTTAAAGCGTGTGTGCTTCGGAAGTTATCAGTGAGCGCGGGACAAGGGGGAAATGTAGACACACCATAATATGTTAAAAAGTCCAGTATGACTGCTCGACAGTTAGCCTAGATACTCCGTACCTGCCTGCCAAGTACGGAACTTCGGTGCCCTTTTCCCTAACCCGCTGATAAAAGCTCCGAACAAACAGGCCACTGAAAAGATTTAAAATTCCGCAACAACAATTCGAGGGGTCCTATTCAAAAGATCTTATCTGCAAAGCAAGCAAATTTCACTAAGTTTGACCAATAGAGGCAGCTACAAATCAAAATAATTTGGGATTATAGTTACACAAACTTGAAGATGAAAGATCGAAGAAATTAATAGTGCGTGTAGAAATATGTTACGCTTATCCTCTTCTCCGTCCCAAATGGTCAAACTTAGTGAAATTTGCGTGCGTGGCAGATGAGATTCTTTGAATAGGAGCGCGCAGATAAGATCTTTTGAATAGGGGCCATCGAATTTGTGACTTGCAAGCCACCTGCACTCACAGCACGTTACATTGTGCAACCACAATACGCAATTATACTGACCATTTGTTGTTAAAAATTTTAAGATTCTAAATATAATCCTTGCTTTGACGAATAATGAGAAAGAGGACAGTAACGTTCTGAGAGTGTGCACCACAGATAGGCGAATGACCTAATACACAAAAGAACGTTGTGATTCAGTGCGAACGAAGAAGCATTGATCAAAATACAATTTGGGGCGAGGTATACTTTATAACCCAAATATGGGTTAGGATTATATTCCTAGCTACGGCCAGATAGCATTTTCACTCGGATTTAGGTGAGGATGGTTTCTTCGCCCAAAGTTAGATGACAACATGATCCTCTCCCAAATTTGAGTCGTGATTGTGACTAGTTCTCAGTGTTTGAAGTGAACGATTACCCCATGCTGGGCGGACAGTACGTAGAGGGCGCAGGTGCTGATCAGAAGACCACTGAAGAGACAGAACCTCATGGTCCCCGCCTGCATGCCAGCGCAGTACGCGGCGTCTAATGCCAATCGCACTGGATCCACATGCACGGTCGTGGCAGAAAAGCAGCATCCTGCGAACAATAAAAACGTGATCCACAGATGATACGTGGGTGGTTTTCGTAAAACTAATTCGTGACTCACGCGGCAGACGCAGAAGCCGTTGGTGGTAGAGTCGTCCTGAAGTTTTCCGCTCGTGTAGGTCTCAACGAGCTCGACTCCGTCAACCTCCCCCCTCTCTCTCTCTCTCTCTCTCTCAGGGTGAGCACACTTAACATTATTTTGCAATTTTTGAATTTTAGTAGCTCAATTTCATAAACAGTGGGGGATGAAAAAGTTATACACAGAATAACTTAAATTCAAAATTTAATTTTCAATTTAAACTATTCTGTGCTTACCTTTCCTATCTCCAGTTGTTCGCAATATACAAGCGCCTAAAATCACTTTAAATCCAAAGGCAATACTTTTAGTTCCTTTTTTGGCGATACAACTGAGTATCGCCCATAAACGGCCTGACGGAAAAGTATTGCCTTCAAAACGGCGATACACAAAAGTATTGCCAAAATTTGGCGATACTTTGGAGTATTGCCACCATTTGGCAATAAAAGTCGAACAAATCAAGGGGACAAGACCTTTGTTTAATGCCGTGGTTTTGGCAATACCCAAAAGTATCGCCAAATTTTGGCGATATTTCTGTGTGTGTATCGCCGTTCTGAAGGCAATACTTTTCCGTAAGGCCGTTTATTGGCGCTACTCAATTGTATCGCCAAAAAATGTACTTTCAAAACGCTTTGCACAGATCAAAAGAGCATCAAATTTAGGGTGCATTAGACGTATTGACCTTCCCAAAACTCCCAATTTTACTTAGTACAAAAGAGAAAATCGCAGAAATGTTTACACAAAGATGGCGCCCCCGAGGTTTTTTCCTTAATTATTAGACTTATTGTATTTTTCGGTGTTTTCACTTTGATTTTTTTGAGGGCTGAAGTAGCAGTTAAGGGATTGCCAATGAGTCTAATGCACCCTTTATGTGATACTCTTTCGATATGTGCAAAGCGATTTGCAAACAATGGCCTAGTTTGAATAATCTCGAAGAAGTCCGTGACCCCTGCACGGAGCAAGATCGGAGCGAGAGCTTCGCCTCACTGCCGATTTAGGGTGTTACCGCCCCCTGTGTAAAGCAAGGGCCAGAAAATATGCGGTCATGAAGAGCTCCAGACAACTCCTTCCAACGACAGGCTTTTACATGGTTACCGCCGTTTGTCTCTAGCATTCATGCAAGTCGTTTTTATTGAGGTGCAAACAGAAAAATCGAAAAACATTGAAAAAGCGTGCACAAAGTGCTACTGCCCCCTTAAAGTCAAAATGGTATTGACAAAGGAGCCAATACGCAATTGACTTCAAAAATTGTGAATAATTGATGACAGTTTAGTCTTTATAGTGAACAATATTGTTCATGGTTTAAAAGGAAATGCTACATATTATTGCTGCTTAAAAAACTACGTAAGCAAAGTTCAAAATGTCAATAATGCAGAGAAAAAAGTCAATACGAGTCTGAGAGTGTGGACTTGTTTCAGTGCAGGCCTTCCGGGCAGAGTGTAAACGCTCGCGCCAGATGGTTGGCGAATTTTCGCCCGTTGTCCGACTGCCCGTTACAAACACCACTTCCGCAGCTTCCCTCTAATACACTCTAAATGTCTTGCAGTGAAATTTGACCCATGTTATTCGTATGTTACAGTGAATTCGGTGCAAGCATAAAACGAAGCAAAATTCCTTCGTAATACGAATCTATTAAGTTTTTTCATTTTAAAATACAAAGAAAAACCTTCGTAATACAAAGAAAAACCTCCTTCGTATTATGCTTGCGCCACTTCCTTCGTATTAAGGTAAATCTCTTCGTACGATATTTAGAGTGTACCTACACGCATCTACCGTACTGCCATGACGCTGGCTGCTCTTCAGGATCACCCCCTGTTTTGTCATTGTTTCAGAATAGCTGCATGAAGGATTGCTCTAGTTAAACACAGTCTTCAAGCTTATATTGTTATAAGCTTTTAATATCAAACTATGAAAACAACAGCTTTGATGCGTAATTGAGTTAAGGGAGTGCGAGACTCATGACTATATCCTTACGCGTTTCATTTCAAAGGTAAAATTGAAAGAAACTGACAATTCGCGAAGTTCGTCAAACAATTGAACTTCTGCTTGCCACACATATTTATCAAAACCCGAACGGCCCATAATCTTGTCCGCGAGGCAGGCGCAGGCCAAGGCGCAAGCGCCGCAGGCCAAGGTAGGTACGCCAGGCGCGGATTAGAGAAACAGGCAGCGAGACATCGCGAAGCCTGTTACGACAAGACGCGGTCTGGCGTAAACCTACCCTGTTTAAAACTTGTCGCTAACGGATAAAGCTGAAAGCTGATATTTACTACGGTAACAGATGACACCGTTTGCAAAAATAATTGACTATAGTTACTTGAATCAGAATTACTAATTTATGATCTGACACGGCGCTCCAGGCGCCACCTAGCGGCAGGTCCGTGAAACCCGACCCCAGGCGGCTGCCAGTGTGTGGATCGAACCGTGAGAAGTGGATTGTCCACAGTTTCGGTTTGCCAAGCTCACTTAACATAACAGCTGACGTTATCAAAATGATTCAATGCGCTACGTTTGATTTTGTATATTTGGTTTTGTAAAAGTCAGCCTTATCTGAAATTTAAAACTTTCTTCGTAATGAATTTTCAGACTGGGTACAAAAATTCAGACCAAACACGGTCTCAGACTGCCCTGTCTAACATTTAAAACAGGAGTCTGGGGCATTCCATGTCAAACCGAGGGGTGGATCACTCCGCGTCCTAGTGTACACATGAGTACAAGAGTACGCGTGAGTACACCATGCTTTACTCATAAATTTCACGTTTATAAACGTTTTAAGGCTTTATTTAGCGTTTTAAAAGGCACTCAACGCTAAATCGGTCGAAAAACTGGTGAATTTTACCCTTTTTAAACTTGTGAGTACACTGAGTACGGGCAAATTTGTACACATGAGTACACTCGTGATTCACCCCTCGTGTCAAACCATCATGGTCCAAAACGCACTTGCTCAGATCCAGCTCCCAGTTCTTTATCTCATAGCGTACCACTCAAAGATCACTCATATAAATTTTTCTGAAAAAAAAAAACAATTCAGAACTTACGCCGTGGCAAATTTTTGAAATTTCAAATAAAATTTCAAACTTTTTTTTTAAATTGCGGCTTTAGGCGCTCAAATGGGTTGAAAATAGAATATGGCAACATAATAAAGTGAGAAACAAGGTTGGGACCCTCAGCCTTTGCCAACACCCACATTGCGTGTGCATTAAAATGTTATCCTAGTGTCTGACTTAACACTCTGGAACCATTTCGAGGTGAAGGTCAGCATTACATGAGTTGAGGCCTACGATTTCTTGCTGTGTAGTGTCTAAATACTTAAAATCAGGGATCCTTAACTTAACTCCACATATAACTAACACTGCTTTCATAACGTAACATAAGACAATGTTCGTTATAGGTTAAGGGTACGGACTTATGAAAGTATTTGCAAAAGTTTATCCACACAAATTTGAGACATAAAAAAATAACTTACCCTTTTAAAAAGGTGATAGAAGTTAAGGGTACTAACTTTAACTCTTATGATAACGTTATGATAGTCTTATGAGGTAAGTAAAGGATCCCTGCTTAAAATGATCGATTCACTGTGGTTATTTTCCCACAGTGCGATACGAGGTTAGTTGCATGTTCTCGTATCGCAGCGAATGCGTTAACGCGTGTTAATCTTCTAGACAGGCCATCCAGGCAACCGCTGCCTGGCCAGCCGGAAACTCGGTACTCTCCGCACGAGAGCACACTGTTAGAAGGGGGTTCGATGCTCGAAGCGTGGAAAGACTGTCACAATTCTCGCCCGGTTCAATAACGGTTTATAAAGAATCGAACCCACGGGGGTTCGATTTTCGACCGCTTCGCCGGCTTTCGGCACTTGGGGACTTTCCCAGGACAGCGCCTACTTGCATGCTTCACCAAACACACATTAACTTACAGATTAAGATCCCTTGCAAAAAGGAAAATATATGGAAAATATGTGTCAATATATGACTCCATATATGTTTCATGCATTGCCAATATAATTGTATCTTGCTCAATATATTGCAAATTATCTTGCGCAATACGTGGTTTATATATGGGGGTATATCTTGGTGCCCGTTAATATATGATGCATATATTCCCCCATATAATATTATCTTCGCGGAATGTATGTTTCAATATCTGACACGGTGCCCGTCGTGGGATGGGGCAGGGTTAGGAGGGCAGACTTTTCAAGTAACTTTTCTTAAAATCTTGGCACTCGATGTTGAAAGGCGGCTATATTTCTCAACATGATTTTATCTTGTAAAATATATTGACGCCATATATTGAGCAGGGGCAAGGTTCTTTCCTATGCGTTTAAGTCTCCAGGAAATTTTGAGAAATCCTGTTAAGTTTACTGGAACAGTTCGAAAATTTTAAACGTCTTTTTTTGGGTGTAGCGCGAAAAGTTCTCTTAGGTAACGACGGTAGGATCACTATTGGATGTCCTCGCAAGGCGAAGTTTAATTCTTTGCTAATAGTAAAGAAAGTCTCTGAGTCGTCAGACTCGGTGTATTCACATCATATATTGCCTACATGTATAGAGCAATGTATGAAATTTATATATTTGCCACATATTTTCTATATCGGAAAAGTATCTTGCTAAATTATCTTTTCCACATATGTCGTCAATACATGTTGGGCCATATATTTTGTCCATATAGTGCCCATATATTTTCCATTTTGCAAGGGGATTTGTCGCAAGCGAAGACAAACAAAAAATGTCAACAAATGTCACGGGTTTAAATGGAAAATGAAAGAATTATAAAACTTCTAACGTCTTTTTGGCCATTTTGGCACTCTAAAAATCCAATAGCTCTTTCACTTTCTATTTTAACCCATAACATGTGTTGACATTTTTTGTTTGTCCTCTCGAGACGAATCTAAACCTGTATGGTGATGTCTATTTGGTTAAGTTTGAAAATTCAGTGAACTCAAACCCTACTGAAGCCGAAAATCGAACCCTTCCCAGCCGAAAATCGAACCCTCATCACGTCAAAATAACGAAGCCTAGATGTATCCACAACAGAGGCCGACGTCACGCCTAAAATCTGCATGACAAGGAAATCCGAAAATCAGCGTCTTCTAACCAGTCTCGCCGATTTTTGGCATGACTTCACTGTGAGGCTGCATTTTGGCGTGACACTTAATTCGTGTCCCCTGCAAAAGCGCCGATACATTTCAAGTTTTGTTACATGCGGCCTATTTTTCTGCCAGCTTACCGCTGCAATGGGACACTTGAACTCAGGCTCCATGGTCTGGACGATGGGGCTCCAGAGGACGCCCTTGGAGGGGACCAGCGCACAGAGAGCCGCGTCCCAGGTCCACGTTGTAAAGTATTCGCACGCATTCGACGAGACGCCACCCAAGCAGCGGTGAATGATGACCACGAACTGAGGCGAAAATACACTGTCATTCAGGGGTGCTCTGAAAGTTGGTGTCTTTTGACGCTCGCCTCAGGTTTTGTAGCGCCTTTGGGCGCCTAAACACTACGAATCTAACTGTCTACTAAGTACACACTTAAAAATGCATTGTACAGAAGTAGCTTTCAGACGTTCAATTATGATCCCTTAGCTACGCTTTGCCGCATAGCAGTGCCGTCAGTCGCCCTCGTTGGTGAGCTACGGCCGTTTCGAAAACAGGCCGTTTTGGCCCACAATTCGACGCCTTCTAATAGAATAGTCCTAACTGTCAGTGCTGATCCAAGACAATCCTAACTGCTCAAAGGTTTCAGAGGAGGCTAAGACTGCTCATTAGCTCTCTTCAGTCCAAAGCAGCGAATCATGATATCACTGAAATACAACTTCCACGTTCATGTGCAAGGTTTATACTTTTTAAAAAGTCCATTGCCAAGAAATTTGAAGCAGCATGTTGGCGTCATAGAATTTTTATAAGGAATAGCTTTTTACGTCGTGCACACTCTAAATGTCGTACAATGAAATTTGACCTATGTTTTTCGTATGTTACTGTGAATTCGGCGCAAGCATAATACGAAGCAATATTCCTTCGTAATACGAATCTTTTTAGCTTTTTCATTGTAAGATACAAAGAAAAACCTTCGTAATACGAAGAAAAACCACCTTCGTATTATGCTTGCGCCATTTCCTTCGTAATATGGGAAATTTCTTCGTAAGACATTTAGAGTGCACTACGTCGTTTTCAGCGTTGAGCTCTGCGTAATAAGCGTGCTAACTTGTTTGAAAAAAAAAAAAAAAGAAACGAAAAAGAAAAAAACAGATGGGATTTGAACCGAGGTGCGTATACTACGGGAGACGCCCCTTGACCACTGCGCTACCACAGCGCTGCGTCTGAGCACGGCGATAGATTGGAGTTGGAGTTGAAACAAAATGACCGCAGAGCCGGGATTTGAAGCTGGTCAACGGATCTGAGGCTGGGGTGGGACCTAAAGGTCAAACAAAATATCGAAGTGGACGGGTTTTGAACCGCAGTCCACCGAAGTGCCAGACGGGATACCACTACACTACTGCCGTCTGTTAAACCGGGGCTTCATCAGCTGATCTCAGTTTCCGCGTTCGGTCCTCTCTTCTATTTTTCTGAGCGCTCGAGCAGGCGTCGAAGTGTATAGCGTTTATCGAGGCACACTGAACAGAGCGACACATTGGCGCTGTGGCTTGCGAGCTGGCAATCTAGTTCAAAAGCGGGTGTTCGATGCTCGTCGCCTCCTTCACTTTTGAAGTCGAACATGAAATACAGGCCAAAAATTGAGAATAACACGTTCTCATAATCGATCTAAACCATGGTTTGAAGCATGCATGCATGCATGCTCGAAGTGAGAAAATTAGGATTGAATGGAGTAAATTATGATCAAAACATTTCAATAGAAAATCCGGGATTGCCACAAGAATTCCTTCCTCTGGGTGTGGGATTGTCTTGGATCAGCACCGACAGTTAGGATTGTTCTATTAGGAGGCGTCGAACTGCTTTTTGGAACCACTTGTGGGTCAGCAATTTTTAAAGCTACACACTAAATGTCATGAGACTTTTTTTGTCCCACGATTTATGCAATTTTAAACACATCCGACGCAGATACAATTTTGTTCCCGTCTGGCGACACATTTTGTCCGACGCCGCTGCAAATTGTACTTTCACCAGCCAATTTGTTCCGCCTGGCGGACTCAAAATTGCATCCAGGGATCCTTAACTTACCTCATAAGGGCATCATAACGTTATCGTAAGAGTTAAAGTTATTAACCTTAACTTCTGACATCTTTTCAAAAAGGGTAAGTTATTTTTTTGTGTTTTGAATTACTTCCAAAAGTCCGTACCCTTAACCTTTAGCGAACATTGTCTTATGTTACGTTATGAAAGCAGTGTTAGTTAAATGTTAAGTTGAGGATCTCTGATTGCATCACCGCCGGATGTGCTTAAAATTGCATCATTCATGGGACAACAAAAGTCCCATGACATTTAGTGAGTACCCACGCGACAAGCCTTGAGCAACTTTTGCCAGACTTGGGTTAACTTACAGTTCTTCACCTGTTATACACTTGAGTCGGCAGAGACGTCCCCCTTCATTCCATAATTCGATTTTTTTTTTTTGAAAAACATCACTTCCCCCCCTTCCCTTTTTCTTGCCCTCGGATGTGCCCAATTTGCCATAGAATTTTGAAGGTCTCTCTTTGCTGCCCGATAGGTGGTGTGGTGGTCGTTGCTCAGACATCTGCGCTGTTTCAGGTGACTAAAGAAGGTTGAGGGAAGACCCATACCGCATTTGAAATTGATACGCTCATTCATGGATTTGTCGTAGCCCGTCAAACAAAATGGACTATTATTGATTCGAGACCCACAATTGATTTTTTACCTTGGTTGAAAGTGTTAAAACAGCATTTTGTCTGGTTGGATGTGGGTGAAAGACGGAAAGCTTTATTTCTCAAATTTCTTTTTACGCTGGTTTCTTTATTGTTACGTGCCTTCATCTCCTTTATCAGCCTCTCATATCCTTCTGGTGTTATTATTTTCGACATTTCGTTTTTACAGTTATCGTAGCTCTTGATACACCCGCGCCTCGGACATCTCCCGGTCGGAAAGCTGGTCAACAATTTTCTGTAGTTAAAAAACAATTTGCAACTTTGCCCCACCGGTGCCGGAACAAGCCGAAACTGACGTTTCGGTCCATTGATTAGTCTCGTTATTATTGTCCTCTCTCTAGCCCTCCCTGCCCCTACCCTGCATTCACCCATAGTAAACACCCCTATTGGTTACATGTGCAAATAAAACAAATGTACTGGTTCTACCTACTTAGTTATGGCTGTTCGATTACTGGATGGAAGTAGGTGGCTCCACAAGTAACCAGATTTGTTCGGTTCAGCCTCGAACCGGATTAAGCTAGGTGCAACCTACCTCCTACTTCCAACAGTTACATATACAGTGCAAATGCAGGTGTGAGACAGTCTCACAGTATTTGGTGTGAACCTTGTCCCACGCTAACAAGTGCGAGACACGGTTTGTCCCACACTCGCTGCCTATGGTTCAGTGCCACAGGACCTACGTTTGGAAGTGTGGGACAAAACGGTCTCACTCTTGGAAGTCTGAGACAAACGAGGTTCATAAGCGTGAAACATAGTGGTTCGCACTAAATAGTGTGACGCTCTCACAGTTCATATAGTGTAAACAAACGATGGATCAAGTTACGATCTGATTCGTATCGCGACAAATATAAACGGCTGGGTCAGTGCAAAAAAGGGAAGTTTTATGGGTGTGGGGCTCAGGCTCAGGGCGGCCTCTCTTACGCTCTCTATTAAGAAAAAGATGCAAACTCAACCAAGGTTCCGTTGAAAATATCGTCGATAGGAGATAACTCAACTTGTGTTTTAATGAATCTATTGTAAAAAGAATGAAGTAAACTTAACCTCCTTCGTTTTGGCAACTTAAATGGAATCCTTGATTTGTCTCCAAATTTCATTTCGTTAAGGAAATACAAGTTAAAATGACTGAGTTTTCCATTTAAACGAAAAGTGATAAGTCACAGAAATCTTCCACGGAGTAACCTGACACGTATGACTTTAGCTAAAAATCTAACTTATGCTTCATGCACTTGTAATCACATGTGCACAACATTCATTTGTCAGGTTTTTATTTTCCTTTCAAACAGTTTAGTCGTCATCGGACAGAACAACCTATTTTCAATGGGTTTCCCATTTGACTTACGCCCTTATGCCGCGGGGGGGACCCCTGCCCACATTCGATGTACAACTGGAGACCCAACTCCCGAGTATCCCTCACACATCCTCACAACACTCAAGCACATTCCTCATATTCTCACACAATCCCGTCACGACATTTGTCTACAATTGTCCCAACATTCACACACATTCTCTCAACACTCTTATACCATCACATTACATTCTGGCACATTTTGAACACAGTACCAGTACTTGTTCACAAACAATCTCACACATTCCTGCAAAAGTCTTTCACATTCCTTCACATTCTTCACACGTTCCTCCACATTCTAGACATTCCTCACACATTCCTTTACATTCAAGACATTCCTCATACATTCCTTCACATACTAGACATTCCCCACACTCGCCCATACAATCGCGGCATTCTTTCACCACGCCTAACATTCTCACACATTCGGTCACATTCACTTAAGGGGGCAGTAGCACTTTGTGCACGCTTTTTCAAGTTTTTTCGAATTTTCTGTTTGCACCTGAATTAAAAAGACTTCCATGAATGCTAGAGACAAACGGCAGTAACCATGTAAAAGATTAATTTTTCTGCAACAATTTCAAAAAAAAGTATTTTGTTTTAGCATAAGGGGAGGCACTTATATGAGGGACGTAAAAAAGGTCTGCAAAATCATACATGGTGTCACTGCGCGCACGATTTCAGCCAAAGTTTTCAACTTTTTTTCAATCGGTGAAGTGCATAAAAAAGAGCATAAAATTGCCTACAAAATGAACCACGGGGGTTAATATCGGGCCAAAAACGCTGGTAGAAAAAGGTCGTTTTTCACAAATTTTCCATTGAATGCATTTTTCTTGTTCGATACTAAATATCCAGTAGCATTTTTCATCCGATATTAACCCCCGTGGTTCATTTTGTAGGAAATTTTATGCTCTTTTTTATGCACTTTACCGATTGAAAAAATGTTGAAAACTTTGGCTGAAATCGTGCGCGCAGTGACACCACGTATGATTTTGCAGACCTTTTTTACGTCCCTCATATAGGTGCCTCCCCTTATGCTGAAACAAAATACTTTTTTTTTAAATTGTTGCAAAAAAAATGATCTTTTACATGGTTACTGCCGTTTGTCTCTAGCATTCATGGAAGTCTTTTTAATTCAGGTGCAAACAGAAAATTCGAAAAAAAATGAAAAAGCGTGCACAAAGTGCTACTGCCCCCTTAACATTCCCGCTCTACCGTCAAACGTGCATGACTTACACATGCACGCCCATTCAAAGACATTCGCACACATTCTCTTACCTTCCTACAATATTCTTTTACATTCTGTCCATTCTTGTAACAATCCCTCATATTCTACACGTTCTCGTAACAATCTGTCACAGTCTAGACAATCATTCCCACACGCTCTTCACTCAGTCGTACACTTTTTTGAACATAGCGAGGCACCCCTCGCATTATGCCCAACGGCTGCTGAGTTGTTTCTCGTACGGAAGTTACCCCTTCTTCTGCTTCCTGAATCAGGTTTTGACGGCTTTCAAGGGCATAATACGGTAATGACCAAGGAGTTGCACAAAAATTTTGGTTAGGAGTCCTACACGGTGCAAGTGCACACCTCTTTTAAGAGCACAAACCGATTTGCGCTGTGCCAGGAGTGTGAATCATTCGGGTTTGGTTTTGAATGCCTTCGGGACTTGGAGTGTTAGAGCGTTACCTTGGTGAGCACTTTGATTCCGCGGTAGAGCCACCATTCTGCATCTGCGATATACTCTGCCCCGTACTCGTTCAACTCGATCCTGTAGTTGGTGAGATTGGCGTAGTGTTTCTTATCCGTGCATGTTTGGGCTCCATACCACTTGGGGAAAAGCCTCGTCGTTTTCACCGGTTTCTGCAACATAATGAAGACTACATGTTCTCGTACCGGCTAAATGTTAGGTTAGGTTTCGGCGCGAAAGTGGTCAAGGCTTTCATCGCCCCTCAGCTTAAGCTCGAAATACTTCGCAAGGCTTTAAGCGTGTGTGCCTCGGAAGTAATCAGTGAGCGCAGGTAATATTTTTGTATGATTTATACTGCCACGGGGCTCAAGTGGGGCTCAAATGGGGCTTAGGTCGGGGCTCAATAGCGTACTTCGGAGAAAACCTAGACCGGAAGGCTGCGACCGAACGGAAGAAAGAGCGTCAGGAGGATGTGCTGTGCGGTGGTGGGGGTCGAGATCGGCGGAGTGGGGGCAGCATGCGCGCGCCGTCGTCAACCCTACTCCGCCGATTTAGACCCCCACCACCGCTCAGCACAGCCTCCCGACGCTCTATTGTTTCTCCCGTTCTGTCGCTGACTTCCGGTCTGGGTTATCTCCGAAGTGCCCTATCCGGGAGTCGGGGCTCAACCCCGGCTCATGCTGGGGCTCAGACCATCGGGCCTCATGTCCTGTATGCCAAATTAGAGTCGTGATTGTGACTCCACTGGTAAAGGTTAAGCGAAGTATTGCCCTCTGTTTTCAAGCGTAATCAGTTTATGCTTGAAATCAAGCGTAACCGGCTCATCCACAAAGATCCCCCCTATCTAAATGCATGGGGTAGTTTCATGTCTACGCTTCATATCAAGCGTCACGTCTTCAAGCGTAACTTGATGCTTGAGTCAAGCTTAGAGTTACACTTTAGTTTTACCACTGTGGTTCTTAATGTTTGAAGGCAACGATTACCCCACGCTGGGCGGACAGAACGTAGAGGGCGCAGGTGCTGATCAGTAGCCCACTGAAGAGACAGAACCTCATGGTCCCTGCCTGCACGCCAGCGCAGTATGCGGCTGCGGCGTCTAATGCCAATCGCACTGGATCCACATGCACGGTAGGGGTGGTCGAATGTACACTTTTTTCGAAATCTCAAAAGTTAGATGGCGCATTTTGTAGTATTTTTTCTGCTGATTCCGAATATGTACTTGGTTTTGAGAAAGGAGTGAAACTGAGGGCGCTACCAGCCTTTTAAGTTTTGAAAAATTGCTTAAAATGCGAATTTTTAAAATTTTACTTTTTCTCCGTTTGAAAATCACAGTACATTTTCGGAATCGGCAGAAAGAATGCAACAAAATGCGCCATCTAATTTTTGCATAATTTTTGCAAAATTGACATTTTGAGAAAGGTACGCTCTTAAGGCAGGAAGTACTAGAGCTCCCCCCTCCTAGAGCTCCCCCCTATTTTCCGCCTTTTCTTGAATTAATTTTATTTAAATGTGATAAAATGAATTAAATATGATAAAAGAAATTAAATATGATTAAATGAATTAAATATGATAAAATGAATTAAATGTGATTAAATGAATTAAATCTGATAAATGTGATTGCACTGCTGGTGCCGAGTGCAAGTTGGATGGATTGGAGTCCACACTAGCCGCGTGAGACCAGCATCGTTCTACCACGCAGGAAGATGCTACGAGAGCTCCAGCTCCGGCGGCGGCGGCACTGACAGGGCTGAATTTAAGTGATCTTACCTATCCTAACCAAACCTAACGGGCTCGCGACGGATCTCACTCTCACTCGCGACAGATCTTTCTCTAGCTTGCGAGAGAGTGAGATCCGTCGCCAGCCCGTTAGGTTTGGTTAGGATAGGTAAGATCACTTAAATTCAGCCCTGTCAGTGCCGCCGCCGCCGCGCTGGAGCTCTCGTAGCATCTTGCTGCGTGGTAGAACGATGCTGGTCTCACGCGGCTAGTGTAGACTCCAATCCATCTAACTTGCACTCGGCACCAGCAGTGCAATCAAATTTATCAGATTTAATTCATTTAATCACATTTAATTTATTTAATCATATTTAATTCATTTAATCACATTTAATTTATTTAATCATATTTGTTGTGAATTGGCAGAATGCTAGAAGTGAAACAACTGGAGTTGGTTCCGGTCAGTCCCCGCTTTTGTTCTTCTTCCTGTCTCTGCTATGGAACTTCCCTGCCTTGGCCAAGGCTCCTCTATATTTCCGGTTTCTGAGCGCACCCCCGTTGCCACCCTCCTAACAAGTGTCTCTGTTGCCAAAGCTATATATTGAACCACCCTTGTAGCAACCAGTCAGTCTGCAGCCGAGTCTCAGACCATTGACTAGTGCCCTTGTGCTCCTTCCAATAAATCCCTCCAAACCCCTCCAGCGTTGTCACTCGCCCTCACACTGCCAAACTCAACAACTGGTGACAGCGGTGAAGCGGCGGCAACGCTTGACGGGAGAGGAGAGTTTTTGAGGGGGAGTGAGAGTGAGAGTGTGAGAGTCGGACGAGTTGACTAGCAGCTCAGTAGGGGGTGGAGGCAGGTGCAGGAAGTTCAGGCTGTCCACTGGACGGAGCCGTACGACCGAGCAGCCCTTGAGGCAGGTGCAGGAGTACAGGCTGTCCAGGCGGAGCCGCGAATCCGAGCAGCCCAACCCCAGACCGAATGTGGGAGTGAAAGAGAAAGTGGTCTGAGGCAGGTGCAGGCGGTTCAGACTGTCCACTAGCCGGAGCCGTACGACCGAGCAGCCCTTGAGGCAGGTGCAGGGGTACAGGCTGTCCGCTAGGCGGAGTCGCGAAGCCGAGCAGCCCTACCACGAGTGAAAGAAAAGGTCGAGCGAAACCGGTTGAGCCGAGCTGTGGACTTAACCAACGAGACTGTGCTACTGGAATCCAGGACGCCAGTCTGACAACGGGAAGTCTACAGGCCGACAAGGCTGTGTAGCTACGTCCACTGTGAGAGTGACTGGTAGCTGAAAGCCGAGAGAAACCCACAAGCCAGCACCAAGGAGCCTAGGTCAGGTTCTTAAAACTCAAATAAAGACACCAAGCGTACGAGCAAACGTGTAATATGGCAAACGTCGAAGTTGGTCCCGAGGAGTTACCGCTGGAAGGCCAATTCGAGGCTCAGCCAGAGGACAACGCTCAGCCTGCAGCAGCACCCAGAGGTCGTGGTCGTGGCCGTGGCCGAGGGCGTGGCCAAGGTCAAGGCCGTGGCAGAGGCCGTGGCCAAGGTCGTGGCCGAGGCCAGTGTCGTGGAAGAGGCCGTGGCCGAGGCCAGGAACGAGAAGCCGCCTTAGCACGCGTCCAGCAGGCACGGGAAGCCCGTCAGGAGTACCTGGAACAAGAACAAGGAGGAGTTGAACGAGTCGATGTCGCTGTCGACGCGAGGGAAGCCCCACCACCAGCAGGATTACAGCCTTACCTGCAATTGGCTGAGTACCGGCAGCAGCTTGCGCAGCAGCAGCGGCAGATGGCGCAGCAGGAGCGACAGATTACACAGCTGCTTGCATTCCAGCAGCAAGGTGCTCAACAAGGCCCTCGTCCAGGAGTCAAAATTCCTGAGTATGATGGAGAGCAGTGCTACAGTGCGTGGCGCTTGCAGTTCCGAGCCCTGACTGAAGGATGCTCTGAGGAAGAGAAAAAGCTTAAGCTTGTGGCAGCACTTCAAGGAAAAACTCTAGGAGTGTTACAAATGCTGAACCAGCAGCAGAGGCCCATCACTTATGCAGAAGTGGACGGAATGCTTACCACAATGTTCAGTAGGCCCACTTCGTTTTGGCAACGCAAACGAGACTTCGAAACCATGGAACAGAAGTCCGGCCAGACTGTCCATGAGTTTGCTCGAGAACTGGAGCTCGCAGGACGGCGGTACATGGTCACTCAAAACGAGCGAGACGTCCAGGAAGCGCTCGTAGTCGCGTTCGTCAAGGGCCTGCAGGACAGGGAAGCAGCAGGGAGCCTAGCCTACTCGCAGTGCGACACTCTGGCAGAGGCCATGAAGAACCTTCACCGAGGTCTGCTCCTGTCCCAGCCAAGCCAACCAGCCAAGCGAGCGAGGACCGTCGCCATTGAGGACGACTACGATGAAGAGGTCGACGACGAGGAGGACGAAGAGGAGTACCTTTAAGAACATCTGGAACAAACAAGAAACTAAGTAAGAGAAAGAAACCCAAGCAAAGAAACAAGACACAAGGCACAAAGCTTATGCGGCATGTCACGGAGAGCCCAGTTACAAAATTCAGAAGTGCTTATTCCAGAACCAGAGACAAAATTCAGAAGTTTGTGTTCCCATTCAAAGACATGAGAAAAATTGGATCAGATGAAAAGCCCCGTTCGGAGTCCAGTGGTTAAGGAAAGTTTGCTAACAGACTCTTGAGAGAGTGCTGGAAAGGCCAGTGGAATCAAGACAGTCAGGACATGGGCTAGGGCAAGAACAGAACGCCAGAGGGAGACAGGGTGCAGTCCACACCCGAGTCAAACTCTGCTTCAATGTTCAAACCCTTGTTCATGATTCCTCGACAAGGAGAGCGGCATGGAGAAGGAAGCTCCAGGGCCAAGAAAGTCTGAGAGAAAGGCAAAGACAGAGAGCCACAAGTGAAGCCAGGTGGCGTGGCAAGAAGGAGTACAAGCGGGTCTTTTCACTGGTGCCAGTTGAGAAAAATTGAAATCTGATGATTGAACGATTGCCAGTTTAAGGTTTTGGAAAAGCGCTTAGAATGAGAGTGCCAAATTGAGAAGTAGAAACATACCTGGAGAACCCATGAATTCAGCGGAATGGAGGACAGTGATGAACAGCAGCATTATGGCGGAGTAGCATCAGTTGTTCAGAAGCAGGAGTCGGAGACACCATGAAGTACACCAGTTGAGCAGCAGCAAGTCCCAAAATTTCGAGCTGAAGCAGACGATGCCAGCAGAATCCAGTCCAGTCGATGCCAGCCTTCGAGAACTGAGAAGAGAAACGCCAGACCTGTAACGAAAAACTAAAGTTGAAAGACTGGGCCATTGAAAATAGTTAAAAGTAAAAGTAAATTTTGAAGCCATCAGCAAAGAGTTTTTAAATTCTTAACAGTAAACTTCCTAGCAAGCTCCATGTTGAGAGCATTCCAAGTTGTAAACAGTAACTTTTGAGGTTATGAGCTCCTTGACAAGTCCCAGACCCATGTTCAGTTTCACTATTCCCTGTCAATATCGTAAATAAAAGTGATCCCAAAACAGTTGCCACCTTTGACTCTCCATGTTGGACACACTGTTCCCTTAATAGCGTAGTCAAGACTTATGAAGTCACTTGCCTTTGGTGGAGTGCACTTCGCTCAGACAGAACACGAAACGCTCCGGAAGGCATGCAAGAGGGTCAAGTCCCTTGTAGTGCGGACGTGTTTCCACAAACAAAACTCTAGGACACAACGTCTTGACACGTTATCTAAAGCTCCAGAAACACAATTCCTCTTCAAAGTTTTGAAGTCGGGCCCGGAGGCGGCCATGGCGATGTAAATAAATAAGCCGTCGTGAGGCACCACTGGAGTCAGTCAAAGGATGGCCTGGGAGAAACACAGTACAGCTTTAGTCACTTCAGCAACTAATACACATGTAAACAAACAAATCCAGTTTCAAGTTGAACTTACTTGCCTCATGGGAGTGGTTAATCTTGTCACGGAGTGGAGCTTCATAGGCGAAATTGCACTAAAATGATTGGCCTAGTTTTTCTGACGAGTAACGAAACCGATAACGGACGGACAGATGACACAGACGAAATCATCAGTAGCAGAACCGAGCAGAACAACCAGCCGCGGCGCCAGGCCCGGACAGCGACAGGCCGTGGCAAAAGAAAAGTTAAGTATTCGCGGTCGTGCAACAGTTAATTAGGGTGTCTAGACATTGATGGTGTTGTAGATAGGATTGAGCTAGTCAGGAAACACCAAGGCAAAACCCCACCTTTTTTTTTGAGGGGGAATGAGGGCTCAAATACTGCCAGGTATTTTCACACTGTTCAGGTTTTGCCATCAAGACCGACAGAACTTCGAGAACTTCGAGACCGTTCCAGTCTT